TTTTGCACTGCGAAAATCAAAAAATATGGACAGTTGCCAGATTTGTTTCGAAAATTATTCATTGAATTGAACGTGGTTCATCAATGAAGTAATATAACGATTTAAAACAGAAATTAATGAAAATTGAAATTAAATAAAAAAAAATATTGTAGAAATATTGTAAAAATAAAAGAATTTTATTGTTTCAAGTGAGTTGCGTGCGTTTAGTTAATCTCTGTAAATTCATTGTGAGCGCATTCTGTACAAGGACACGTTTGTTGAACTTGGAAAGACTGACTGCGAAACTTGGAAACTCGACGCCAGTGCATCAAAGTGACAATAGCAACAATGAACGAAGGAAGAGAGAAGATGTGGGATTCCTAATTTCATCCCAAGTCGAATAAACGTGTCCTTGTACAGAATGCGGTGGTGTGGCTGTGAATTGTATTATATGATTGTATGATTGTACGATTGTATGCATCATGAAATGCGTGCGTTTAGTTTTAGTTAATTTCTGTAAATTCATTGTTAACGCATTCTGTACAAAGCTATACTTACTTAATTTCGAACGAAGTTAGGAATCCTTCTTCTCCTCTCTTCTTTCGTTCGTTATTACTATTGTTACTGTCATTGCACTAGAGTAGAGTTTCGTTGTCAATGTGTCAAATCGGGGATCTTCGTCCTCGTCTAAAAGGATTAGGACTAGAATTATTAGAAATATTACTAGAACATGAAATTTCTACGATAATTAATCATTTAATTGTGACGAAACCAAATCTTTCACGAATGATGAATATACCAAAGTACCACTAATTTTCCATCCTTTGCATTACATATTATAGTGTGACACGTTGTGGGCCTCTGGTGATCGGAGGATCGTTCTTCTCACGTTAAACGATTAAGTTTTTCGAAAAACATATTTAACGATATTGCTTTGAAACGATCTTCGATATCGTGTTTCAAATGGAATCCAACTTCGAACAGTTGGATTTTACCTAAAATATTCGAAATATTATTTTTCCAAACCTCATTTTCATTCTGTTCCTTCATACTCATTTACTTTTTGTTTAGAAATTTTCTAATTTTCTAAATTTAAAAATCGCTTTACATTTCAAAATTTTTACGTTTAATCAGAGGTAACTGAGCTATTCTATGTACTAACGTATATACTATACTCTATAAATTTAGAAGATAGAAATTAAAAGTATACTTTTGAAAAGTAGTGGAGAAAACGGTGTACATTTAAAAAATATTAAATAATGTCCCTTTTAAAACGCGCTTTGTTTCATGTCGATATCTCAGTTCGTTCGGAAGATATAGCGCTTCACATTTTACATATATGAATCAAAGTTCGCGCCAAATTGTCCGCCATCTTTAATAGGCCAGACGCCTTGACCTACATTATTTCCTGGAAATCTGTCTGTCCCAGCTACTCTACTTGCGGTAGGTCAGTGACTAATCTCTTCAGGTAGCGAGAGGGAGGGGGGCAAGAGTGCGACAAGGATAGTAACAGGAACCTGCAGAAAATTAGCTTTGTCGTTATGCGATGATATCTTAAGAACCGGAAGTCGCATCGAAATAAAACGGAAAGCTTTTTAAAGGGCAATGTTCAGCGTTTCTAAAGATGTGTATTTTTGCCACAAATTATAACCAATTTTGAAATTATAGTTACATAAATTTCTAGTACTTTTAATAGGTTTTGTCCTATGTTTTGTATGTTAATAAGATAAATATTTGAAACTTTTGAACTAATATGGGTTAGAAAAAGTATATGAATTGAAAACGATATGAATTTTTAACGATATTCAATTTGTTAATTAAATTTGTCAATTTGTCAGTTAATTGTACACTTTACAAATTTATATTTTACACATTCACGCATTCCTTTTACACACAAAAATTTATTAATTTAATTTTTGAAAAGTACTGCCCCTTTGATGTGCGTTTGCAAAGTTTACAACAAACGAACAGCAAAAGAGGTTTCAAGGAAAACCGACGTGATAAATTAAACTACGATATTAAATTGAAGTTGAAATTGGAAATAATTATAACCAGTTTGCGGATTTTTATATGTTAAATATTATAGTAACTACTATACTACTTTATATATTTTATATATTGTGTATATGTACTTTCTGCTTGTTTGTGCAATTCTAAATTTCGTATAATATAATAGAAATTTCCAGAAAGGAACAGAAAATATTATTTGATCTGCTAATAGATGGTGATTTTACACTTCTATGCTATTAATTTTGAATCTGTATTTGTTTGACATATATTAAATAATAATTCGCATAGAAAGTAATTATATCATAATCAAAAATCAGATTTGCAATCGATAAAATGTTACTATGATTTATGATACTTCGAGAAATAATGTTATAATAATCAATATTTTAATAGTTTGTAGATTTTTATAGCAAAATTATATCTCTACTAATTTATTACAATTAATATTATAATTTATATATTTTTGGAGGCCAAAATTAAAACCGCAGTACATGACTCGTTTCTGCTTTTAACTTTACCAATGTATGTGATAGACTTAATTGTATCTCATTTCTACATCTTTTTTAGGTAAATCGATAATAGATAATTAAATTTTACAATTAAAATTATAATTTTGCCTGTCGATTTTGGATATTTCTTCCTATTACAATTTCCATCTACAACTGATGCTTCCATAACACTGCACTTTCGATGATCGAGGTCGTGATTCGATAATTAAATATCACGATACGTAATTACACAATCTACCGTTTTATCGGCGCTGCGATCTTTTTCAGCACTGAATCGATAATATCGCATGCGACAGTAATAGTTCATTGGTGATTAGAAGTAGGTGTCAAAGTGCTGTCAAGCAAATACTTGCACATACTTTTAGTGAGCGACAGTTATTTGATACTATTATGAAAATAAAATATAAAATATAAAAATTATATATGATTGTGTCGAAAGATAACTTTATTTTTATATGCAACAGTAAAAATTACTAAGAATAAAAAACGTGCAGGTTAGTATTATCTATATTCTATATACTTTTATATTTAAAGCTGTGGTATCAAAATGATTTTATTAGATTTATACCTGAGCATATGTAAAAAGATGTAATGAAATATCTTTAACCAATAAAATATCAGAATTCGTTGAATATGACAAATTACACCTATCGAGTTGACACTTGACGCCATGTTTTCCGACACCAGACTAATCGTTTCGCGCCAAATTTGCACCTAGCCTCTTTCCTATTGGTTAAAGCGATTTGTTTAAGTACTTATAGCGACGCGGAAAATTAAATTATTTATAATATTTTATATATTTAAATACCCGTTCGATTATCGCGCCTTTTTCCATATAAATTTCTATATTTCATCATTTGTTTCATACTTACATTCACATTTTAAAATTATTTTATATTTTCATCTATGTTCGTAGTTCAGGTTTTGAATAATGCGCGTAAAATAATTTAGCTTGCTGCGTCGCTGTAAATATTTAATTTAAACGAATCGCTTCAGCCAATAGGAAAGCGACTAGGCGCAAATTTGGCGCGAATGATCAGTCTGATGTCAGAAAGTATGGCGTCAAGTGTCTAGTTGACAGGTGTGATTTTCTTCGCTGCGTAGTACTTTCATTACTATAATGCTGTCTTTTAGACATTACTATCAGGTTTGTTTAACTAATATCTTCTTATTTAATAATTTTTTAACTATTGTCATAACGATAATTTGTCATAAAGAGAATTTGTCAAACTGTTCATTCCTGTCCTTCATACTATTGTGGTATTAGTTTTGGAATTGTGGTTTATAGAATAATTGCGATGACGTATTATAGATTCATTGAATTTTGTTACATTTAAGCAAGAAATTGAAATGATTTTTATATTTTATCAATATTTCGAACGTACATTCTCTGTAATAATATCGTCACTTTTGTCTATTATTTTCATTGTTTTCGTCATGAAGTTGCGAGACATGTTTAGACTTGTTTCAAATCAAGGCCAACTGTAGTATTTACCTATTGTTATCACGTTATCTTCTACGATATTTTGATTTCTTACTATTTTTCGAATATTTATAAAACGTGACGTAATCTACTACCGAAATATATGTTTGAGTAGTTGATAATAGACATTCGTAGTATAATATTTAAATTCTTCATTGATTTTAAAATATTTATCTGTTTGATAATATCAGGGAATTTCCAATGCAATTTTTTTTAATGTAGTAAATAAATGAATCGTAATATTTCACATTTTGTTACAGGTGTTTATCAATATCCATTATTTTTCAACCTCAGGAAAAAACTTTTAGCGGTGCTTAGCCAAGAATGTAAGTAATTCTATTAAAAATTTCTATAATAAATTATTATTTATAAATATATAATTATATATAATTTTTGTTTTTCAGTGTTCTGAAAAATTATATTATTTTGTATTTTCTTTTAATAGATTCTTTACACTTTCCATCAAGGATTTCGTTCTTAAGGATTGACTCTTTTCTTGGCCTTTTCAACGACAACGTTCTTCGCATCTAATAGTAAGTCGTGTGCATTTTTGTCCCTCCGGTCACTCAATCATGTCGTAGGATGAAAGGTCCCAATCGACACGGGTGACTGATTGTATCATGTAGATTTTTCACCGAGCATAGTGATTACGAATATATATTGTATTCGTAAGTAGTAACATTTTCTTGTCTGTATTTTGTTTATCAGCTCAGGATAGGATCTTCTTGCATATCGCGTTTTTAAATATTAATTTTTTTTACCGATATGAGTGTAATATAATTGATGTAAACGATTGATAGATATCCTCAATTGCAATTTATATCCGCTATAATTATTTACAAAATTATATCAATCGAAGATAATATATTTATCTCAATTCTAAATTGAAACATTGAAGTTGAATTTTGTCTGTCTAAAAATGTATCAGAAAGTGCAAGAAGGCATTTCGCGACAGGCAGATCTCAGAATCAAAGTAAGAAGTTTTGAATGCTGTTTTTGGATTTTCAAAGATGTACTTTGATGAAGGGATCGCCTGAGTGTGTTCTTAATGTTTCATTTAGAATCTATTGTTACTAATTTACACTATTAGAATTTCATATTATTTATATTGAATCTCAATTTTTTTTTTTAATAAATTTAATATTCATCGATGACTTGTTATCAATATAGCAGTTCAGTTATCAAAGTAAATTATGATGTAGAGATTGAAATAAATGTATATTAGCCCGTTAGATACAAAACATATTCATCATCTTTTTAGCTCAGGGTTTTCAGGTTTATCTGTTTCCATGTCCATTACCAGGATCTCATTCACGTGCCCAGGTGCTACTTGAATGGGAGAAAGGCAATAGACATGATGATCATAATTTATAAGTTTAATAATTTCTTAGCGACTGATGATGCATTAGCGTATCGTGCACGACGTAATTTCCACATTTTGTGTATGTGTGTATATGTTAAGCTGTGTTAGGAATTGCGTCGTTATTGCTATTAATGCAATATATATATATAATTTAGAAATTTAATAAATTTAGCAATACTTTCAATATAACCACCAATATCTTGTAATCATGAATATGAGCATTATTAACCTTCCGAATGATAAGTTATAGTGAAAAGTATTAAAATTAAAATTGTAATATATTTAATTAAAATTGGCGTATACATGTACATATGTTTATTATACATTACGCAATAGTTGCTAACGATCATCAGTCGATTTCAGGAAAATGGTACGTAAATTAGAGCGTGAAAGTTGTGCGTTAAGCTTGGGTGTCGGAGGCGTCTCGGGACGTCCTCTCTAGTGTAGGTGTCTGCGCCCGGGTGGTATGTGTGAGAACCGTGGAGCGAGTGTGTTGGTGTGCTTGTTTTGCTATTTTTTAAATATAGGGCGACTAGTTAGGATAGGTAGCTTATTTCTGGTGTGCCTGTGTTTAATTATAAGTAGGTAGGGCCAGGTTGGCACAGTCTCTGATCGCGTGTCCAACCTGTTTCTGGAAATGCAATTTGAAAAATCTCAGATGAAGCTGGCACGAGTAAAACATGCATCATCTCTCTGGCTTTGTCCACCGATTTTTCAAATTTCGCGGCCGAGTAGTCGCTAATTAGTCTCGAGTACGCACATGCGAAAGAACAACGATCACTATGATTGTAGTCGTCTAGTTATGTGTATTGGGATTAGCTTCCTTGATTGATCGTTTTATAAGCTACTTCTTGTTTTGTGATTAAAAAAAACTCGAGGCTAGATTTAAATTTCAGCGGACATTGCGTCCGAAGAAAAGAAGAGGCCCGGCAAACTGCCATAGAAGAGGGCTGCAACAAATGGCTTGTCATCCTCTGGGTTGAAAATCTATCCAAAGCATGGGAAGTCATTCTTGTTACTACTTTGTCACTATGCTCGTT